CCCCCCCGCGCCGCCCCCTCCCCACAGGCCCCTCCCGCAGCACCCCATCCCCGCGCCGTAGGCCTCAGCCCCACGCAGGCTGCCCAGGACCTGTGTATTTGTTGACCCCGGCCTCGGCGGCGACGTCAGTCAGCACCACGATGCCGCGAGCAGGGTCGCTGGCGGCCACGTCCATCTCCAGCAGCGCGTGGGGACCCAGGTTGCCGTTGGCGTAGTTGGCGATGTAGATGGCGTATCGGCCGGAGCCCTGTGGGCAAAGGGCAGGTGGGTGAGGGCAGAGCCAGGCTGGCCAGGCCCCTCCCCGGCTCCCAGCCTGCAGCCGGCTGCGACACCCTGGCTGGGCCGGGGGCAGGGTCCTGGGGACGTCCCCCTCCCCAGTGGCGGCACTGCAGCCTGCAGGCTCTGGCCAGCCCCGCGGGGAGCGGATTAGAGCCCCACAGCACGGCTGGGGGTGGCTGCAGCCGGGTCAGGGCCCCGGGCCCCACGCTCAGCTGCTGTTCCCCGGGGGTCCGTGCTGCTCTCGCTGCCCCCAGCCCTGCTGGGACAGTCGCTCGAGGGCTGAGCCTGGGGCGGGGGACCACTCGAGGCCCGGACCTGCCAAGATTCGGTGTCTGTCCGGCTGCCCCCCGGCATGCTGGGAGTGCTCATGCTGCGTCCCCCCCACCGCCTGGCTCCCACACTGCGCCACGGCTCTACTCCGCTGCCCCCCACTCAGTCCTGCTCCCCTCCACCTGCCCCCATCTCCACCCCATGGCTTAGCCCCACTCCCCCAACCCCCTTTCTCCCCAGTCCTCACCCCATGGTACAGCCCCACTTCCCCTTACCTGACCCCCAAGCCTCCCACTCCGCTAAGGTGACCAGATGTCCTGATTTTATAGGGACAGTCCCGATTTTGGGGTTTTTTTTTAATATAGGTTCCTATTACCCCCCACCCCCGTCCCGATTTTTCACACTGGCTATCTGGTCACCCTGACTCCGCAGCTCGGCTGGGCTTCCCTGCCACCTACTAGCCCACCCCACCCCGCCTCTTGGCCCCACTCCCCCATACCTCGCAGCCTGGCTCTGCACCCCGCCCCGCCCCC